CTGGTGGTAAGGTGGGAAATTTGGCTGCCCTGTCAGTGTTAAGACATGACAAGACTCTGACTTAATAATAAGAGAGACCTTACAGGCTGTGTGAAATAGGCCTCCTGACACTATTCACAGCCACTGTGAGTTTAGCTGATGGACTGGAAAGCACCCAGCATGACATGGAACTGCAAAGTCCACAGCATTTATTGCTTTTCATCTTCTTGTTCCTTCCTCTGTATCACAAATCTGCCTGCAAGGACAAGCTACCACAAACTGCACAGCAGGCTCTCCTGCAGGTTCTTCCTACCTGCATGCAAGTTATCCTCAAGACTCAGACCAAACCACTTGGGTGACCATCAAAGCAGGAACAGCCTTCCCAGACACATGTTGAAGGACAACAAAACAGTGAGGACAATCCAAAAGCCAAGTGAAACTGCAAGTTCAGATTTTGTCCTTTTTTTAAGCAACTTAATTCTGGAACCTGCTCTACTGGTCAAGAAGTTTCACAAAACTGGTATCAGCTTAGCATCTTTGAAACTCCTACCTTTCTGTCATTCATTCCAGATAGGCCAAGGGGTTAGAAAGCCATCAAGCATAGAACACATGACAAACAAACAAGCAGGATAGAGTAAGGACTTTTCTTAGAAAACTAAGATTAAATAAGTCACTAACAAAAACTATTTGAAAACACGTCTGCTCGAATGAGGAATGGTTATAAATTACTGGCAAGTGACAGACCTGGAAACGGGAGTCTCAAGTACATAACTGGATTCATATAAAAACTTTTGTAATAAAGCTTGCTAACCTCCCATCTAGAAAACAGCAACAACCTCTAGCAAAGCCACTAGTACTCAATACTACACTGCAGCATAACCTGATTCAGGACAACCAAGCCCTACATACCCAAAGCAGCCAGAGCCAAGTGCTCTACAGACCCCAGGAAACCGGGATCACCCATGGGCTAGCTTGCAACATCCCTCAAACTGAATCAGATTAGCTGGGGATATTATTATTTCCATAAAACAGCATGCATAAGGTGAGTAAATCTTCACAGCTAGACATAAAACAGCGTGCTTTAGCATCCTGCAGCTGGTCAAAGAACATGCCTAGCAGAATGAGGTTCTGAGGTCTTAAAGGGCAAGGTGCACAGGAGATGGGCAAGCCTTCCTTGCCCCAAGGGTGCCAGACCTTCTCTTTCAGACCTAGCAAGCCTCTCCAGTAACAGTGATCCTACTAAATTATGACAGTTTTGATACACTTTGGAGGATTGGGGTTCTACATAAGCAGTGAGGAACAGCTCAACCGAAGGTAACCTCACATGGGCTGCTGCAACTAGAAAGGATGTCAAAGTGCATGAACTGGGGTGTGAAAACACTCAGTACAAATTTGCAATTATACCTTCTTACACACAAATAAAGACTAAGAGGGTACACAGTGAACAGGCTTGCAGGGAAGATTAAAATCCACTATTTACATCTTACCCTCAAGGAAGCATCAGCAGCTATATTTTCTTTTTATATAGCAGGCCAGCGCACCTAGCCGAAAACTAGAAATAAAGGCTAACTTAAATAACAAGATGCAAGGATTCTAGTTCTACATTGCAAGGAAGTATGGAGGACAACGGTTCAAATAAAGTCAACCGTGTTGGAAATAGTGCATGAAATCCCAGAAGTGACAAAACTACCAGTCAGTGAAGAAGATGAAAGGAACCAAGTGGAAGAAATCAATCAAGAAGAAAGATTTTTCTCCTTTTTTAGAAGGCAGGCAAGGGGCCAGATAACATAAGTGGACACACATGCAAAAAAACCCCCCCACAAAATTAGCTGTGAGTACAGCAAATGATCAATTTGATAATAAACTTAGACACGGGGACAGATTTGCTTCAAACTTAGGAATGACAGCAAGCACTGAGGGGTGCAAACAATTTTTCTTGCACTGGAAAAGAAAATTGTTCTAATGCAAATGGATGAGCTGATTAACAAAGCTTGCAGAGTCTGTTGTGAAAGACGGGTGAATGGAGAGAACCCGAGGGAGACACTAAGAGCACGTAAACCAAATCAGGGAGCAGCTGACTGCATTTAGAAGGAAGCAGCTATAGGAGCACTTAGAAACACGAAAACAAGAATATGACCTAGGCACAGTAAACATGCTGAAGTGGACGGGAATAGAAGGCATCTGTTCATTGTACTCTTGAACTGGAGAAGTATCAGTGTAGTTTCACTAATACCATTTGTTATTATTACTTTTGACAATCAGGAGGAGGTAGGAGATTATCAGAGCTAATATTTTAAGAATTCAGTAAGGAATAATATGTGGAAGCTATGTTTACTTTTTCCAGCACTAAAACCAACTGTTGAAGAGGGGGAAAAACCCTTAATTTATGGAAATCCCAAACTCACCCTCCCATGCATTAACTTCACATCATTACTAGGACAAAGGGTACATATTTTCTCTATTGTGAGGATATACAAGCATTCTTTTCTTGAAAAATAGTTTACTACGTCATTGAAATTGCAGAAGCATCTGTGCACTTTGGGGACTTCAAACATTGCATCAATTATCTGAATAAATAATGAAAAGACACTGTGAATAAAATGTTCCATCAAGCCCCGTTCACAAGTCAATTGCTTTTTGAGTCTAGTAATATACTGTAATATTTATACGTTATTCCATTTTACAGGAGGTTAGGAGTTTTCTGTGCTTCTGTGCTATAGTTACTACAGTTTGGGGACAAAAACTGCTAGAATACAAAAGGCTACAGGAAGCATAACACACACTTAGATCCTCCACTGTAAAATCTCTTTCCATACTAAAAACCAAACAAAGGAAGCACAAAACTCCAACTGGAAGCAAAGGGACACACCAAGTCCCACCAGCAGGTCAGGCCAGTGACCAGCACTTAATGCTTTAAAATTGGGTCCCTGACAAGCAGCACTCGGTCAGGGCAGAGCACGAATGCCTGTTTGTTGAGCTGTCGTTTCCAAAGAGTCTCTGGCTGGCACCTGGAAACAGCACAAGCATAAGGCTGATTATCATTTCTGTAACCCCAGAGGAAAACGATCAGGCAAGATGTTTGAGTAAGAGCAATGCTGTTCGAAGGCAGCATTCATAAACAGAACAAAGACTAAACAAAAAGCTAAACAAGTACATCATAATTAACAACAACCACCAAACTTTTAATTAAGATACGCAAGAAAAATCAAGGAGAGCTAATTAAAAAACACAAGCGTATATACTTCCTTAGAAAAATCTGAATTGGTACTGCAAACCAAACAGGCTAATTGTAAGTGATCACAATTATTTTGTCACTGTTACACAGTTTAGGCACAATTTTTCAGCCTGCCGTTTAATCCTGATCTTGTTTGTACTTCCCTGTTCTCTGATGCAAGATTCTCCCAGCCAAATTCTCCCAAAACTGAAGAACACACCACAGAAACTTAACTTCACAGAGCAGGCCTATTTTGTAATTAGTCTGAGGCACTCTTTCCTGCCTAGGACAGTATTATTCTCACAAGGCCAGAATTCTAATTATGATGCACTCCCCCTATTCACTCTGAACAAACCCAGAGCTCACAGAAATGTGTCCTGATGCACAGCCACATTAGGGCCACTGCACTCCACCTGCTCTTGTACCCAAGGCTGCCAGACCAATGTAAAAACACAATGCAATTCCACATATTTATCTGGTAGGTACGAACTTTCCTTAAAGCTAAAAAAGAAGTCACAGATAATAGTAATCTAACTGACATTATCTCATGTAGTACCCTTCCATAGAAATACATCCACTTGGATAACTAATCCAATTCTTCAAAACAGTACCAGGCCAATCTGAACACTACCAGGTAGTTATGCTGTCAGAAATAGGCCAAGAACACCGACAGAGAACTTATTTGCTACATATCTATTTCCAGAAAATTCAAGTTTAATATAACAAATAGGCATACTTGGGGTTATTATAGCTAAGAAAAAATAAAAACAGGTACAAAAAGAAATAACCACACAAAATGCCAGAACGCCAACACCAAAATGATTTACAACTAACAGCCTCCACACCGCCCCAGAGCAGTGCAGAAATGAACCCATCACCCTATCAAGAAAAATCCATCTTTTGGAGTTCTTTCTGCACCAAAATCCTACTTTTTGAAATGCTTTTAAGATGTCTTACATACAATAGGAACTGACAGGCCAATGGAAGTCTCATGCAATTGGTGAAGGAAAAGGCTCATTCCAGCACGAAGGCCTGCACAGCCATAACCCTCACTGCCTAATCAGTCTTTTTTTTCCCCAACCGTTAATTGAATTAATTTACTACGATTTCTGTTGCTTTCCCCTAAAACAACGCCAAACATTAACAACCAAATAAACGCCACAACACTGCAATGCTTCTGAGCGCCACCTGACTTACAAATCTGATTTACTTCTCGTTGTTTCAGCACCCCCCCACCCGCACATCGCCCAGCACAGCTGACGAAATCACACTGACCGCACACGGGATTCTGCTTTGGCCGCAGGTTGCTCCCCACAGCCCCGCGCTCCTCACAGTGCCCTTCAAGGTGTTTTAAACAAAGAAATAAATGGGAATGGCTTACTTTAAAGGGTCTAACCGCTCACGCTGGTCTTTCTTTTTTAACCTCGAGCAGACAGGCGCTGGCACACAGCAGCCTCACCCGCGCGGTGCTGCAGCACGTGCTGGGGCAGCAGGCGCTGATCAGCAGCCACTCAAGCACATTACTTGCGCTGACCTCACCGCACCCAAACCGAAATCCTCGCCAAGTTCACTCTTTCCCCCCCGTCTACGTGCGACATCGCAATAAGCAGCGCTGCTGAGCACGAAGCGACCTGCTAAGACCTTAATTAACTGCAGCCCTCTCCCACCTTCCCCCATCCCACAAAGAAAAGTTCAGAAAACTCCCCGAATCCATTTTCCAGCCCTCCTTTAAAAGCCCCCCGGCCCCGCGGGACCCCCCATACTGTGCTCCCCCCCCACCCCCCGCAGCCCCCATCCCGCGCCTCACCGCGCGGTGCACGCGCATCTTCCGCCGCGGGTTGCAGGAGGCGCGGAGTCGGCGGCCCGAGCAGCGCGTGCGACGGTGGCTGCGGCGGCACGTGGCGGCTGCGGGGTCTCCCGCGCTGCAAAGCGGGGCGGGACGCGGCGCTACGCAGCGGCGTGAAGCGGCGCCGCCATCTTGTCGGCGGCAGCGCCCGGCGGATTAGGGCTAGGGGGAGCGGGGATGGGCTTTTTATCTCGGCAGGCGCTGCGGGGAGTCGGCTCCGTGCTCGGCGGCGGCGGCAGTCGGGGCAGCTGTAGGGGCAGCCGGGGTGGGGAGGGAAGGGGAGGGGAGCCGCGTGGCTCGGTGAGCCCCGGGCGGGGTGAGCCCGGAGGTGGGTGCCTGAGGGGAAGAACCGAGCCGGGGTAACGTACCCAGCGGGTGTGCGGGCTCTGCTCCCTCCCGGGGCCGCGACGCATCCAGGTGCCTCGCGGAGTGGAGCTGGAAATAAATGAAAGGCAGCCGGTGGGACGCAGTGCGCGCAGACCCCTGCCTGGGGGTGCTTCCTTGCCGCCAGTGACCTCCTCCGATAAAGATGTACAAAGACGAATTTTGAGCAGGTTAAAAAGCCTCTTTTTCAATCAATGCTCAAGGAACGGATAAGATGATGTGACACAAATGTATGATCGTGTGCCACAAATAGAACATTGTGGGAAGCTTTCCCTTAAACATAAGCTTTGTCCTATATTTTTTCAAACAGTTTATTTCCTTGCTGTGTAGGTCATTCTTAACATTAGGCTAAATTTAGCCGAAGATGCACCAACAGCAGAGGCAGACCGCCTGGGGAAGCTGAGCGGGCTGCAGGCTGACTGCTGGCCTGGGCGGGGGGCTGGCTGCAAACCCTTCGCTTTTTTAGTGACTTTTTCTCTGCAGCTCGATTAGGGGTAATAAAGCCACAGCTATTTAAATAAAATATCTCCAGAAAACTAAAAGTTTACAGTGTGGTTTGTCTGGTACGCTCGTGCTGCAAGCCGGAATGCAACCTGCATTAATTCCAAGGGTATTTCTACCACGTAGTGGGGGAGGACTGTCGCCCTAACATCTCAGGGCTTTTGAAGATCTGTACCTGGGACTTCAAAACGGAGGCCTAATCTCTGCTTCCACTAAGGATGGCAGAATTTGTACTTGTTTATGGACTTTGATTTTCAGTTCTTTGTGTATAAATTTAGCTGTGGGTGGGGTATCCTCGGCCAGATTTTTCCCTATATGCTATACATAACAGAATGACAGAAAGACATACATGGTTCTGTGTTAGATTGACAATGAATTGCATTTGCTAGCAAATACTGGATCAGATCCATCTGTTTCAGAAATTAGCATAGCAGCAATTTGTTTGTTTGGCTTCATCTGTCTATTAGTTTGGTCAAAATCCTCATTTTAGAGACAAACTAGCACATACAGAAAGGACCTGTGATATTGTCTGTGCAGGCATCCCATGAAACAAATTATTCTAAAAAATGAGGTTATGAAATGCAATTACCAGAAAAGTAGACAGAGCTAAATTAAGATTTCTTTCTTTTTTTTTTCTTTTTTTTTCTGGAAACAAGCTTGATTTTTTTTTTTTTTTTTTTTTTTTTTTTTTCTGGAAACAAGCTTGATTTTTTTTTTTTTTTTTTTTTTTTTGTTAATGCATTCTAACAGTCTTAATATATGAAAAATGTCATACCCCTAAGCAATACGCTGGTAGCAAAATACTTCTCTCCAAACCTAAGTTGTGTTGCTGTACTTGTAGATACTCCACACCTTTTCTTTTGGTATATTTTGACAGAATTACGGAGATCCTTCCTGACTCTGAGCCTCTACAGCCATCTTTCAAGATGGTATTGATATTCTTAAAAATTGAGAAGTCCAGTTTCAAACAAGAGTCAAAAAGGACATAGTCCATTAAAAGATATCACCTAATGAGACCACAGCTTTTCTAAAACCATTTCATTCTGAAGTCCTGTATGCCTAAATTAAATTACATCTTTTAAAAAGATGTGCTGTTGTTTTTTTTTTTAATTTACAGTATATTGAATCTGTACTTTTCTGTATTTCAGTTGTTTCCAATGATTTATTAGATTATTGAAAAAAAATTTAAAAACTATACTAAATATTGGTTACAATGCAAGTGTATCTCCACAAGCGTAGGAAAAGGTCTGCATCGCACAGTTAATGATCCTTATGTGATATTTCCTTGTTGATACGAGTCTGGATTCGTAGCATATTCCTAACTGTCTTTTAAAACTATAACAGTAAATAGTGCTAAGAAGGTCTTCTGTAATCTTCAGAGTACTGACTGAAACTGTTATTCTAAAAAAGACATCTAAGTAGGTCTGTTCAAATACGAAGAAACGTGGATTGTTATCAATAAGTTTCTTACAAATGAATCGTGCTAATGTATTCTTTAACTATGTAGTATGCAGAATAGATTTAGTTCATTCTCATGTCACTTCATTTCTTAGTTACGTATCAAAGCCACCAACAAAAACACCTAAAATAAGAACTTACGTTTCTCCTTCAGAAAAATGAGTCCTATGTTGTAGGCAATGAAAATGCTGTGTAGTCTCAAATCAAAGGCTGTGAGGGCTCATTCTACACAGGAATTAGGAAAGCACCTGTGTTGCTTTGTCTACGCACACCTGTCTCTACCTGAGCATCTAATTCATATTACTCCTCCCACAGTCCGCCCCATTTCTTTGTCTAATCTGAGCACCCAACAATAGGCTCCATAGAAGTTTAGGAACCTGGGCTGAATGGAGGGGGTGTGATTTGCTAATGAGAAGTGGCTTACCTGGTTCACTATTGAAATCATCACAGTTTGATTGTATTACATTACGATGAATAAGAAATACTAATGTCGGTGACAAAATCGAATAGCTTCACGGGGCTATACGAGCATGATGTTGAAATCTCCTATTCAGAGTGTAGTACTCTGAATCAGTATATTGCTAATGCATACCGCTTTTTAGAGTAAATACCAAATGTTGTCAGAAATAAGTATTTATGTGTTTTTTTGCAGTAGAGGGAGAGTATAATTTTCAAGGTAAGCGTAGAAACCCATTACAAAGCTTATCTTTGCAATTGACTATAAAAGCTATAAGCGCATAAAAGGCTTAAAGGACATCAGATACAAACTTTGATTCTTCACGTAGTCAAAACTCCCATGCAACCAATGTTCCAACAATGAGTATTCTTCAGGAATGCTTATAAACTACATGGCCAGATTCATTCAGGATTTTCATTTAGATCATGTTACAGTGTATTGAGTAGTGATTTTTTAAATTATAATTAGATACTGAATGTAAGGCAATGTGGTATTATAGAACAGAATTTGTTAGATGCTTTATTATTACATAAGAAAAGACTTGTAAAAATGTGGCTTTGGGACTGCAGCTTCAGGACAGCATCATTTTGATTATAATAGGAAGGCTAAGAGGTTGTATTTGTGTTACAAGAAAGATGGCTGAACATTCTTCCAGCTAAGGAAGGATTCTAGACTTCTATACCAATTTCAGATTTTAGAGGGAAACTACTTTTTATTAATCTTCTTGTCCAGCTCTACCCATAAAGCATTTAGCCCATCATAGCTCTATAAGATTTAGTTAATGTGTCTTCTTGATTTTTGAAAATATGCAGAGATGTGGCTCACTATAAATACTGAACATGACATCCAGTCTTCATAAGCTTCTGTATAGAGAGGGGATGAAAATGACGGTGATCCCACTGATTAGCCTTAAGTCTCTTTCTGGTTTTACTTGGATTCAGAATAGTAGGAGTAGGGAAGAAGAAATAAATAAAACATCTTTTTGGAAAGCAGGTGACTATCAGAGCACTGATTTAAACCATGAAGACTCGTCTCTGATCAGCCCTTTAGCCGATCAGAAGAATAGCGTTAAGAAGAGAGGTTGGTTAAGAACTCTCCACGCTGCCCCCCAAGTGGCATTTATCAGTAAATTCCCGCTTTTCTTTTGACTGCTATTGCACCCTCTCTGAAGTTCTCCACATAATTTAGTCAGTGAGTCCAACTGATTTATCACAGTCACTCAAACATGTTTTTACACCATTCATTGAATATTTCAGTACAGGTCTAATCTCATTTGGATTTATTACGATTTATCTTGGATTAAGCATTTATCTGCTAAGGATTTTGACCTATACTATGAGGTACTGATGAGGCATAGAAGTTCAGGAACTTCTAAGCACATTAGAATGAATCAGCAATGTTCTTTTTTAACACAGACTTCACACATTATCTTTTTTTTCAATCAACTTTGAAGATACATTGAATAAGCATCTAATTTTCACTTAATACAGCCAGTAACCTGGAAAACTCTTAGCATGAAGTAGGAGGAAAGATGCATTTAATTAGGAGCGGCTTAAAAGATCAGGCCTCAGAGCCATGTGACTTCATATTCACTCTCCCTTCAGCAACCAGTGTAACAATTGTTTTTTTATGTACCAATTTAAATGTCTTTCCTTCTTCTTGAACTGTATTTTGGCAAGACTTCTACCCCCTTTTTCTACTTTTTCTTGTTTGCACAGCTTGAAGTGGAAAAAAAACAAAAACAAAAACGAACAAAGACAAAGATGAATTATATATTTATCTTAATGTTATTTTTTTCTTATTTGGATAGGTTCATACTGCTTCCTCTACTGACATACACAGTACTACACCAGTGGAAGTTGAGTGTGGTATTCTCATGTGATTAAAAGAAGTTATCCTTTGGCTTTAGTTTGTGGCAAAGCTACCAATGTATACCCAAAAAAAACTTGTAGATTTTTCCATGCTTAATAATTCTGTGTATTTATCATATTTTAGGACTCACATTTTATGCCACTTTAATTGCGCAAAAGTTAGAGAATTAGAGTAGCCGCTTTAATTTTGTATGTAAGCTTTTCTCATAGCTTGTCTTTTTCATTCATGATAACACAGCACAAAGAGTGAGGCAGTCTTTGGTAATACTAGAAATCAGACACTGGATATGAAACTGCACAATTTAACATGTTTACACACTCTTATTAAAAGGAATTAGGAAGAAAATGTATGTTTCATTTCCAGTGTGCATTTCTACCGTTTGCTAAATACTGTCACATTTAGAATGTGCAGTCATGTAACAAATGACTATATTGTAGTAGTATTAGTCATGTTGAGGACTCTCCTTGCTTACCAGGGAGTTTACAGTATAGATGTAACTAAAGAGATGAAACCTATGATTTTAAGAGGACAGTAGCACCTGTACATCTGAATTAATTAAATGGAATAATGTAATTTGATTGTGTTTTTCATGTGAACACTTCATATCTCATTTCTTTACAGCATTGGGGTACAGCATGGTTTGCACACCTTGCCGTTCCATCATGGAAGGCAGATACATTTGGTCAAGCATGGCAAACCTTCATCAATCCATGCTGACTACTGTTCATAATCACCTTCCCTTCCTCCTTCTCCAGAAAGGATGTGTGTCGTTATTTTCCCAGAGAAAAGCAAATGCTGACTAACCTATAGGTCTCCAGATTGTCCTTCTTGTCTTAGCAGAATGGGATTTTCGTGGATTTGTGTGTGATACCAGACTTCCACTTCACAGTTAAGAGATTTGACATAGTCCGTAATAATATGCTCCATACAAACCAGGATTGAAAAGTCTATAAACAGTTATTGATCTCCACATGCTACTGAGGAAATTTTCCAAGATCAGTGACAGCTTGGAATCACTGGCATTTTGAAATTATAGATCACTGCTTCACTTTTTTTGGCATTAACAGTCTTGCATTATGGCAATGAGCATGTTAGATGTGCATAGAAAAAAAAAAACACACAACAGAATGCTTTTAACATTTTAGCATTATTTGTTTGAGCAATATTAAAGATAGAAATTTCGTGATACAATTCAAAATAATGGTTTTGTTTATTAAAGATATACATGCATTAAAATGAAGTTAGGATAAGAAAAATGCTTGTTTGTGTGAAAAGAATATCTGCTTTCTCTACACAAACATCTCCTGAGGTTACTTTGATTCATACCTGATTACATTAATGACTGAAACAGGTTTTTACTCCTGGTAACACTGCAGAATGCCTACAGTTATAGAAGAGTAAAAATAATTTTCCATCTGCCCCAAGTCCTTGGCAGTACAACTCACAGTCATTTCTTTTCCTGAAATTATTTACAATGAGAAGGATTGGTTTCAAGTCAAAAAGACAAGTTAAAGACACTGTCAAAACCT